TAATTTGCATATTACGTAGAGATCTTCCTTGACTAGCATTACAAAAAGTAGATTTTTCAACTATCTCTGTTGTTCTTTGTTCCCATAGTTGAGGATGGTTGAGTTTGTGAAACAGTATCAAAACATACAGTTACGTATTCAAAACGTTATTTTTATGCTGAGCATTAAAATGGAATAAAAAGGAAGTGATACTGAAAAATACAATGTCTTTGAATTTCTCAAGGAAGGTATCCACATAATACTCGTTTTATTCTTTAGTCAGTAAATGCAAGATAATAAGTATATCATGTAAGAGGATAGAGAATTTCGATCTCTATCAGAATATAATAAGGATGAAAAATTTAAATTACTAATTTTGTCGACAGTGACAAAATCAAATCTGTGGAAATCTGCAAGTGAGAATACCCTTGTTGCACTCAATTAATTTTAATGATGTATAAATACAAACTACACACTAATATACGGGGTGATACAAAATTTCGGATGTTTTCAAGATGTAATTAGTTCCAAAAAAAAAATATTTTTTTACAATAACCATATATTCGAAATGCGGACTGCCACTATTCTTTTTTCAGGAGTATATAAGCAGTTCAAGCAAAAATTATGCACGAATATCATCTTACGCATGACTGCAAAGAGATTTTCTTGACTAACAGTGTTCGGACAGTTAATAAATCGAAGCCAATTCGCATTGTGGGGATAGAATCCATCGATGTAACATATCGTGCCATCCGACGGACTTGTAATCTATGCATAGATAAAAAGATAGATGTCAAGCTGCTACCCTTCTTACTGTCCAAGCATAGCCGCTTTCTTCTGCAAGGAGACTATTGTTGTGCTTGTAGCCAACGTAAGGACTAAAATAAGTATCTTTTGGAATTCGACGAGCGGCAAATGCTCCGAGTCCCTTGCGAAAATAAAGTATTGAATTTTTCTTGTGCAATACAATTCATTATATATTACTTACGGCGTTTGGAAGAGTGCTTTCAGCAATGAAGATAGTGTCAAGTGGAACAGTTGCGATGGCATAATCAGTGGGATCGACGAGACAGGGATAAATTACCTAAATATTCTTTGCAGTAATTATGTATCAATTTCATTTTGAATCGACAATGACACAAAACTAATTTTGAAACATTTAGAATCAAAGAACATAAAATGTTACTTAGTAGATTTTTCGTGCGCTTTAGACTCAAGTTATACAAAGTTTAGTATTCATAAGAATATTTCAGCTGGATCAGACGTAATCTGTCGAAAAAATAGAAATGAAAGGTGAAACTATTTTGAACCTTTAGATTGGCGATAAATACTAATGTCTCTCCTCTTCTTCTTAGTGATAATCAGTTAAGCCACATTAATATTTCGTTGTTTAGTTTGCCATACTAGTGATGTTAATATGTAAAGAAGAAAATATTGTGCAAAGTTGACTCAAACGCTACTACCGAAGATTTATTTACTTTAAAATGCTGAAAGTTTCCTGCAAAACCATTTTGAGATAGTTCTGTAAATGCTTCTTCTTAAGGTTGATCTGATGAACTAGAAAAATGCCGTTGTCTAAACTCTATTACTGAATACATTTTCCTCCTACGAGCAAAAATAGCACTTTATGCCCAATATATCAATGCTTTCATTGATAGTGTCTATTATCAATTCACATGGCTGTCGAAAATAACTTATTTTTGTTTATACACATTAATCGTTCGACAACATGAATATCTGTGAACATTCCTTCGTCAGAGTTTTTTACAATTATCTCAATTTTGATATCGTACTATGCGCAATAGGAGTATCTACGTTCGTGTTTGAACTTTCCGTTCTAAGATAGGAGAACGTATGTGGTACTGTATTGTTTAGTAATGTTTTAGCATGTCTGAGTTCAATACATATTTGCTTCTCTTTTTATGCTAGAACTTATTCATTCAACAGTTCTAAAAACGAAATGTGAAAGTGATACCTCTAGCTCGTGAAGAGGCTATAAAACAAGACTAGTAAAATTTATTTTATTTTTAACTTAAGACTGCTTTCTTACTTGTGCATCAGCAATATATGTTGTTGTATGGTTAGGATAAAGTTGGAATGAAAATTTGCCATATTCTTGGCAATTGTCACCAGATAGCAGTAAAAAAAGTGCACATTGAAAAACGGTATAAAATCTGTGAGTCATATAAGAATCTACTGGTTAGAAACAATATTCGCACGTCTATTCGATAATACTGATATTTTGTAATAAAAAACCATGATATAGGTTTGCTATGTGTGCAGTCAAATGTGACGAAAGAGGCAGAACGAAAGAATAAAAAACAAGTACTGTATTAAACAGTCGATGACGACAGATATCCATTAATTACTCTTGATCAACGACTATCAAGTGCTCTCTTCTTTCTAAAAAAAGTCGATTATCGTAAAAAACGTCAAAATGAATATAAATACATAGGAGCCATAGTGTTTTCTCATTTCCGAATGTAAAATTGAAGTTCAAAATGTGTTAAATTTAATTTATTTCAATTAAAAACAAACTCAAATCTCAAATTTTCGTTTCTACAAAGTTTTAAGAAAAATTACTGAGAAGAATTTTAATACAACTTATCCTTTTAGTTATATGTTTAAGCTAGTTGTAATTTATAGAGTTCGCTAAACTCTAATAATGTTGAGCAATCAAAATGTAAACATTTCACCTATGCTACTGGTCTCAAATTCTTAGATATAGATGAAATTTTCTTTTCAATAATTTACGTATTCTGCTATTGGATGTAATTAAGTTCAACGTTACTTTGTACACAAAGAATGAGCATAGGTTGTGACTCTTCGAATAGTGCTACGTGCCACCATGCTGTTTCAATTTAAATGAATCTAAGTACGCTGTGGGCAAAGTATTTTTTGTGTAGCCTGTAAAGAATCTAACTGCAGTTTAACTGTATAGTTCGAAAATAGAATTAACCAAACATCTTTTGTTGTAACCGTTACCTTCTCAATGTCGTGCTCGTATTTGAATGTTACTCAGTAATAGTAAGAAGAAAATAAACATAACTCTTAGAAAGACTAGAATGCACATTTTCAATGCTAGTTTGTAACAAAAACATATCGAGTGTAGAATTCGGTATAGTATTACCGTTTAAATGGAATCTATATTACGTCTTATGAATAGTTGTATGCACTAGTTCTACTGTTTATTTGACTATGAAAAATCGTGAACTTGTTGATAGGACATCGAATACTGTTTGGTATGACTGAAGGTGCAACGAAAACGCACTTTTCTGAAAATTTTAACTTTTCAAACTCGTTCTTTTTAGGATTCGTGTTGTTCTTGGTTCAATACTCGAAAAAAATGTAAGAATTTTTTCATTTATTTAATAGAATCGTATCTACTATGGAGTAACAACTTTAGATGCTGTATCATATAAAGCTGTGATATCATTGAAAAAAGTCCATTGAATTGTTTATTTATCCAAAATCAAATTATTGACTTGATATTAGTGTGGAAAATGTGAACTAGTCTATACGATGGATGTGTGATGTAATCCTGTCACAAACAATGAATAAGTATGTTCTCATTTCACAGACATGATCTACCTACATGTCAAGATGTTACAGTAATAATATTCTTTTAGACTAACAGTGCTTCTAACGATCTTGCAGCATCCTCAATCCTTTTCCTCAGTGGCGACACACAACAGTAGTTGTTTTCAACAATTACAAAAGCCCCTAAAACTAATTAAAAACCAGGCGAAAACCGTTGAAAACTAACGTCTAAACCATCTCTACATTGGCTATGCTTTAATTACGTCAAATCTGACGACAGAACACAACAAATTTTAAGCCTCATGGACTGTACAATCTGAACAATAGTATTTTGCTGAGCTCTGTCTGATGACGTCAGGATGAGGTCGAAGTCTTCAAAAATGACAAAGGTTAACTGAGCACATTGACGAAGTTTAAAACATCAAACATATATAAACAAAGCAAAGAAGATTGTGACGTCATCAACACCATCTTCGATCTGCAAAGAAATTGAACTTACGAGATGTTTCCAGTTAGATAGCAATGTTACCTGTAATTGTGAATGCTCAATCACAAGAGGAATAGTTTCGATGCGTTCTTAGGAATTCTAACTTTTTCCCATCAGATAAGAATGAGTTTTTAGTTGATTTTGGTCTACGAAACTGTAGGCTTTAAATTTTATATAAAGTTTCGTAGACCAAAATCAATTAAAAAAATCATTGCTATAGGATGAGGAAACATTAGAAACTGGATTTTACGCGTTTTTTTTAAATTTTTTGTCTGACTTGGATTCACACCCTTCGTAAGTCAAATTCTTATGGATAAAACTTGTACTATATAGTAGATTAAAATGATATTTATTTTAATGACAACAAAAATAAAAAATAAAAATAGACACTAATTAAATTAAGAAGATCGATTTTTTTAAATTCATTTTTTACATATTTCAATTTCATTTTGAACTGTTTCTTGATCATGATCAAGTACCCATTGATAAAATTCTTCATCAATTTTAGCAAAACGATATTAGTCATATGTTTTTTATCATCAATATCAAGAAAATACCGTGCACTACATTTATCTTTAAATATTTTTCTTTCTTCACGTTGATTTAAACCTTATTGATAATCTTGTTGTTTATTAAAATGAATTAATACGTTCTGGCGTACATTACAAATGAATTCTTTTTGATCTTCAAAACTTTGATATAAATCATTTTTTTTGATATTTTATGTTCATTTAAATACTGTGGAAATTGAATATAAATAGAACGTTTTGATGTACATTGTCGATGAGCATGATTAAGTTGATTATCATCAAAATATATCTAACGAAAATATTTTCCTTGAATAATTCATTGAAAAAAAAATCGTTTTGATTATCAAAGTCTTTTAAATATTGTTCATAATTATAACCAACTAAATCAAAAATATCTTTAACATTAGTTGATAAGATTAATCTTGTTAAGGTTCTTGCTGGATTAAATTCTTTAGTATATAATATTAATCAATTTGAAATAGTTCAAAATCGAATGAATAACCACCACCATTATGATATAATGCTTTTGGATTAAATAAACCTTTAATTAATTTTAGAATATTTGTTGATGATGGACATACAATAAGAACATCAAGATCAGAAAATGATTCTTTATATGGAAATTCTTTTGGAATATCAAATTTATCAATATGTCCTCGAAGTTTATTTAATATACGTTCTTTTAATTGAAAATATTCATCTCGTCCATGACTTTAATGCATGTCCACCCACGATTGTCTTAATAACTTCTAGTTTTTTTTTTTCACAATTCTTATACTTCTACATATGCATTTAATTATCAGAAAAAAAGAATTTCATATAACAGTTATTGCTCAATTTTTTTGTAAAAAATGATGCAACTTATGAAGACATACGTATTCATCGACTTTCAAAGACAAGAGAAATATTTGGTCATAATAAATACATAGATTCATTGAAAATACTATGTGTGGCATAATGATTGCTTTTCAAGTATCGTAATGAGATATTGCATTGAGTTAATTGGATGATCTTTTTATAAGGCTAAAAATGAAGCTGTGTTATGACGAAATGTCCTATTATTCTGGGAGAAATACAGATAAAAATAACGTTAAAAAAAGTCTTCTTCTTAATACAAACAAAACATTTGATTATATTATAATTTACTTTCAAAAAAAAATAAAAGAAATATAATAAGATAAAATCATGAATATGTATGAAAAACATTATCTCTTATTACGTTATTCAACTGCATGAACTCTTTGAAGAACAGAGCCGATCACATTTTGAACACAACTCATATCAATTGTTTTGGGTGTAAGTGTACATGTCAATGTAGTTGAAGCGAAGATGTGCACACACGCATACTCCTCACACACACACCCTAAACGGTATGGTGCAAAATTTATATTTTTTCATACATTCGTAAATCAAATGATGCGAGACAAGGAGAAACACTTGCACATAGGATTCGCGATTTTTATATAAAATAGTCAAAAGCATAGTGTGAAACGTCGGATGTTTCTAATTAACTATCGTGTTACACTGTGTTTTTGACAAGTTCATATAAAAATTACAAATTTATTGCCCCACTGTTTCGTTTTGCAACCTCATATTATTGATGAATGTATGACAAATGTAAACCATATATTGTTCGAAAAGGAAGACTTTTTCATCTTGGCAGATAGGAACGATATTTCTTTGCAGAAGTTGACCATCAAAAAGACATAGATATCAAAATTTGGACCTTGTTTGTTGAATCTCAGGAGGACTATGCATTCGTCTTAACGATACTTGTCTTTCCTCTGATGTAATTTCGTTCACGAATAAGTTATAAAAACAAGTTACATACGATTTACAAGAGAACAACATTTTCTATCTATCGATGAAAACATTCTCTTTTAGTACCCTTCTATGGAAGGAAGATAGAAGTCGACATTTGTTGCGGTACACTCGCATCAGGTATCATGTTGAACTCTGTCGAAGTCTCGTGAAGTCTTTAGAAGTCTTGGATCTCACTATTTCTACTTCGATTTTTATTGAACAGAACAATAAAAATTCCGTACACAACTGGTGGACTATGTCGTCGACAAACTCTAAAACAGAAAAAACGTTCTGCCACATCTAATCTTCTTGTACAGTACTAAGCTAAGCTTTAAATACATGTAAATAGTCAGAAGATCCAGAAAATTATTTTATGTCAGCTTGAATACTTCGATGTCTGATGTAGTAAACGTACGATCTCCAGTAAATGTTCTACAGCCTCTATTGGTTGTATCCAAGTATGCTCTAGGAAATCCAACAGTGCTATTCGTGTTTGAGTTACTGTCCGTTGCCACGTATAGATCATGACCACAACCAAATGTTGGTCCAAAGCCACCGTTATGACAAACTGCAAAAGGTACGAATTGCTTAACGACTGAATATTTAGTAGGCGAAATGGCATGAGGGTTTGTTAGAGTGAACAAGAATGCAGTGGCATCACTCTCAAAGTCACCACTTGAACTCCAAGGGACTGAGGTGTAACCACCGAACAAGTAACCATTGTTCGATTGGATAATTGTTATTGTCTCCCCATCTTGATCACAATGTGAGTGAAATGAAGCAGCATCGAATCCATGCCTTGATGCTTTATACATTAGTGTCCATTGCTGATTCTGATTCCCATAAAATTCATTTAATATACTCTTGTGTCCAGGTTTAAGAAGTGTACTACCCGGAAAACCACCTTCGATGAGCATATCGAAAATTATTGTGTTGTAATTGTCAAATACTGTTGGAACATTCAGTTCTATTGGTTCCATGAGCTGGATCTACGAAAATTGATCGAACAAATATTAGTCATTACAAATATTGATCGATACAAAAATTAATCGACAAGATCATTGTTCGATGTATGTACTGGTTGAGAATTTTATAGAAACACACAGAAGCTTTTTAAAAACGTTTCATCGCAGACGAAAAGGATAAACTGACACCAAAAGGAGATTGATGATACTATTTATAAATTAACAGTCGCCACAAAAAATAAATTTTTTTTCTCTGATATACGCAATACATGAACTAGAAAATTCTTTTAACAATTAAAATTGTTACACTTACAGATTTTCATGAACTTATATCAAAATTAATTCTGACAGAAAACTTAAATCAAGAACAAAAATATCTTAAGTTTAACATACGACTACGTCAATAAAGTATGCAGTGAAAGCTAACATGGGGTTTAAAAAGAAAAATATGTGAAATTTCATTATCAATTACTAAAGTTAACCTGAAATAGCTGATGAAGTAAGAATTAGGATATGTTTCAGACACTATTTATATAAAAAACGTTATTATTTCACTCTGAAAAATCAAACTAGATACTAGAAACTCAAATTATTTTTTCACAATAATAAAAGAACTGACGAAATAAATTAATTTTGTATTTTTCTTTCTTCAAAGTAATAAGATATTGGAATGTAGAAGGCGTTTACTTTTCTTTTACATGATCATACTATAAAATTCAGAACAACTGCTCATACTTTCTTAACTGATACTTGTTTTATTTTGCATTCAATTGAAAGTCTGATTCAAAAATCTTTATTTTAATTACTATAAATTTCTTGACTAACATTCATATCGAACAATTTTCGTGTCGATCAAGTTTTGATTTTCCTACGGAACTGCCACATGTTTCTCCCGCAGGACATGATCTCAATATGAAACTTTTTTTGAAAATTGATCATGAGATGTGTCACACTTCATCGAACAAACTAGTTCATGAACGTCATGTTTTGCATTTTTCTCACAATCCATCTAAAAAAAATTAGAATTAAAATTAGATAAGAATGGATTATAATTGTATGTTTTTAATCAAAAATGATCGGAAAATCAAAATTTCATTAATTATCAAGATTAAATTCGATTGCAATCAATTAAATATTTTGCTACAAGCATCAATTTTAATTGATTTTTCTTCATGAAACATCTTAAAAAAAAAACTTCAACCGATTTTTGTCGCTTTGCATCAACTGTAATCAATCTTTTTCATTAAGTTTTAATCGGTTATAATCAAAATTAATCCTTAACAATTGATAAAATTTCGATTTGTTAGTCATCGCTAATTTAAATCGGTTAAAAATTGATTAAAATCATATAATTATAATCGGTTTTTAATCATTTTTTAACCGATTATCATCTTATTTTAACCCTAATCTTTTTACATACGAAGCCGATAAACATTGATTGTTTATAAGTCGTCTTCTCACGTGCTTTGTTTTCATTTTTTTTCAAGAAAAACGTGACAACATTTTTTTTACATTTTTGACTCTTCTATGCCTCCTCCTAAGGATTTCCCTGAAGTGGTCGCAAGTTAGCTGTGAGTCAATTTGTATCAAAGACTGACATCTATATTTATATTTACAAACATAAACTAGATCTGGAGCGGGTGTGGTTTGAATGAAGATAATAGTAATATTAACATCCACACCCTATCAACAATCATTTGAGAAAAGAAACGTCTTGGTCAATTTAGAACGAGCCAAGACATTTATCAATAATTAATTCGTTTGTTACATTCATAAGATGTATCACTCTGATGCATTCCTTTTTCATTATTTATTCTCAATACTAATGATTGACTTTCGATTAACGTTACGTAGTTGTATAGATGTAAGTCGACGAATTAATAGACAGTAGTAACCTGTGGTCAATTGAGTGTATTCATCTTTATCATTGGTTGATTTCTTTTTTCTTTTGGCATACATTTTCCTAGATATAATAACATTTTAGTACATGTTTATTGATAGATGCACGATTGATTGATAAGGTTTCTGTTAGTTATTTTAGGGTGACATCTTTTTAATGGTATGATCATCAATACCAATTTCTGCATGCCTAACGTATAATATTCGTTCTACGATCTCAACTAAATTCAATACTTGCTGAACAGAGATTGAACCCTTTAGGTTTCAAAGTGAACCGAATTCTGATCGATCTGAACCTTTTAAAAACTGTATAATTAGAATTAACAAAAGACAGATTGATTAGTCTACATGTGTTAGAAAGTTGAATATAATACAATTCTTTGTGCATATTTCTATGGAAGCGTATTTTTTTTAATATTCAGTCAAATATTATTGAGCCGCATTTGATTCTAATATTTGTGCTCATTGGTTTCTTTCAGTATTTAATTAATTGAGCATGAAGATTTATTTTTGTGAATTGTATCATTTAGCTTGATCAACAATGTCGTTTTTTTATATGATGAGATCATATTTGTTGCTCTTTTGAAAATAAAACATCAATATGTTTATTTGACGAATAGATAACGCCATATTTATTGACAATATAAGCAAATACAAGTTTTTTTTCCTTGAGCAGGAAAAATAATACTTCCACCAATACCTAAAATAAAATAAAAATTAATAAATTGATTTCGATTAATAATTAACAAATAAATCTTCATGACCGAATATTCTTGATCCAAATGCTTTTACATCGTTTTCAAAAACTTGAAATCCTTTTATAAATGCATTAGGATAACTTCGTACAAGATCAATTTCATTTTCAGATGTATTCGATGATGTCAATCGTTTTTTGTTTTCGATTATCTAAATATCCAATTAAAGAAGCGTAAAGTTATGCAACTGATCAAGCATTTTTTATTCCATTAGTACTTGGAATTTGTGCTTGATGATAACAATAATCATTAAATATAGGTAACTCTGAAAGAATTCTTTCATCTCTAATATTTCTCACATTAGAATCGAAATATCAGTCCATTCTGGTTTTCTTTGTTCAAGTATATGAATAATCTCTCTCAAGTTAGTCAATATTTTCTAACGGGTGATGAATAATTAAGTAAACCTCTTTGAACATATAATGAAACAGTTGTACCTACTGAACCTATTCTTGTTGAAAACGGAATATGTAATGTAACATTCTCATACGGTTTACTTTTTGATTCATTGAAGCAACCACCCCATCGATCAACAACTGGTAGTCCTTTATAATAAAAACTGCAAATGATGCTCCCAAATCTTGTTCTTGTAGAAAATTCATTATGAATAAAGTTCCATCCAGGATCAGTTTTACCATGAACAATATCAAACGATTTAAGAGAAAGATTTTACGAATAGTAGTCAATCGTTTTAAATTATTGTCTAAGTTTGCTTTTGTTTCTTGAAAGTTCAGACAATGTTTCAAGTTAAAGTCTTGATGTTGCTGTACCTATTAGTTTTTTTTTCGAATACTACAATCAACTTTATCCTAATATGTTATCGGTATTGGTTCACATAGCGTCATATCTACCACAACAATAAATCGACCCGGTAAGATTAGGTTCGTGTTCTTGTCCGTTCGTCTCTTATGTAAAGACTATCATCAAGCATTTTGTTCTAACATTAGTACTTGAAAGATGGAAATAGAAAAATATCAAGAGATTTGATTGTGAAGATCTTATTCTGTTATGTCGAAGAGCGTATGCTGCTTTAAGATATAAGTGATATTGTATAGCTACCCATTCTTTTTTATAATCCATTGTCGTTTAAAACGTCTTTTAACTATTGATAAATTTAACGTTTTTTCTTCAATCTTTTAACATTGCTTTTGTAATCCACTATTTTCTATCACAAAATTCAAGAAAATATAAATAGAATTGTTATCCTATAATGCTTGTTCTTCATAGAAAATGTATGCTTGGAATAATATTCAAAAGTAATATGTTTTTCTTCAATGCAGAAAAGACACATGCCAATTCACGTGCTGCTGAATATCGATGATGGATCGAAATTTTTCGTATTACGATGAGAAAATTACAACAGAAAGTATTTCTTTTGCTAATTTGATATTTTTTCTTGTGAAAAGTAACTTAGTTGGCTATTGGCGCCTGCACACAAAATCACCTGAACTTAAGTAGCATAACAATGCTATATTTATTCCGTTTACAGCAAAAAATAGTTTGCTAGAAATGAAAGATTTCATCTTCTAATGGTGAAAATGACGATTAGATAAGGATCAAGCAAAAGCAATTGTATTGGTCAATGTTAACACTCAGTGTAGATCGATTTCTAGTGAAAATAGTTGGTGAAAAATAGACATTCAATATTTGACTTCATTCGATATTAGAATTTTCCACTTAAGATTAACGATATTTTCAATAAAACTCAATGTATATACTTGTGAAAAAGATTACCCAAGACAATTTGTGAAAAGCAAGGATTGCATGTTGCGAAGACTCAAACATCGACTTGAATGTCAATTTGTTCATTCTATCTGAATTCGTTCTTCTGACAATTGCCATTACGGAGTACTAAAGAAGCTCGGTACAATCAAATTCTTACTTTTGATTGTTAGTTCTAATTCTCGAGTTTTTCAAATCCATCATAATTGTAATAATTCGAGAAGAGAGAACTGATCGAACTTTTATTTTCAATTGTGTCACCTGTTTTCAATTACTTAGGACTTATCCAATTTGTGACTATCCTTTTGTTAAAGCTTTACAAAAACTATAGATCTCTTTCGACAAAAAAATCATCAATAATTCTCCTCCGTTGTTCGAATATTCTTTTCCTCAGTAAGTTCAATTAGACTAGTTTCAAAGTAGATTTTATGAATCATCCATCATAATGAAAAATATTTATGAATGTTTTTTTTGGTTTTTGTTCTCTCCAACAACTTAACTTTGTCGATCATTAAAAACCAATTGAATATAACAATAACCATTGCACCTACCCACTATACGATACGACATTCATGC